GGAGCACGGGGAGTCACTACAGCAGCTCTAAAACCACCTCTCTGCTGCCCCTGTCCTGGTACACCACACCTAAAAAGGAAGTGTGAGACACCAGAAGCATATTGTGTTTATTTTTTGTGATTGATGGAACACTGAGAAAGCTAAATGAGTTGTTTGGGCTGCAAGTAATTGGCACCAAGGAAACAAAGAGCTTTCTTTCTACATGTTCTTCAGAAGCCTGATGTCAGTTGAAATTAAGGCATCTTTGTCATGAAGGCAAATTTGACATTTTTTGCATTTTTACTGACTGGAAGCAAAAAAAAAATGACCCCAGCAGAATAATAAAAACAGAGAAAAGCAAAATGAAACTGTTTTAGAGCTATTCCAGGATCTGCTTTGGGGATTTGTTTGTGTTCAGTGGCTACTGATAAATGAGCTGCACTAAGGACAGGTGCTGATTCTCTAAAGTTGAGGAATTGCTTCAGACTGAATAACAGCAGGGCAGCCCCTGGGAAAAGTCTGCAGTAACTGCAGTTATCATAGTTAATCCCTGAGGCAAACACTGGCAATTTGGGCAAACAAACAGTGTTGTGCTGTTGGTTTTATTGTTGTTATTTCTAATGCATTAAGCAGCAACCTGAGTTTGGACTACAGTAAACTTGATTTCTTTTTGACTCAGACTTCCCTGTTGATGTGAATGGTTTTTGTTGTAGCAGCTGTTATCTTGGAGAGTCCTGTGATGGTGCTCTAATGATTCAGGAGGCAGCAGTGTTGTTTTTCAGGCTCAATTTATGTACAAGCATCTGACAAGCATTCAGCTCATTAATCTTATGCTTTCAGTTCTTATGTTTTCTGTTTCTTCTCCAGAACTATAAAGTCTTGCACAAGTATGTAGCTCTGTATGCAACCCACCTCATCCGGGAGGGCAGCTGGGACAAAGCTCTGAGCCTGTATGTACAGCATGGAGCTCCCGTCAACCCACAGGTAATGAAGACAGCATAGCATCCCTGTGGAGCTGCCAGAGAGCAGAGCTGCCCTTCCCTTAGCCTGTGCTTAGCAACAGAAGGGCTCCAAACTTTTGTCATTGAGACTTCACTCCTTTGTCTTGCAGAACTTCAACATTTACAAGCGTCTGTTTGTGGAGATGGTGAATGCAGCTGGCATGAACTGTGCTGAGGCATACTCCAGCTGGGCTGACCTGCGTGATGTCCTCTTCAGTCTGGTGAGCGTGGGCCACGGCCACCACTGCCTGTTAAAGTCTGAAGTGCCCACTCCTCATCCTGTACCTATATTCAGCAGCCCAGCTGAGGGAAGGACCCAGAAAAAGCACAGAACTGCTGAGCCTGGAAACATCTTCCCATCTCCCCAGAGCTGCTTCATGGAATCATGGAATTATAGAGTGGCCTGGGTTGAAAAGAACCACAGTGATCATCTAGTTTCAACCCCCCTGCTATGTGCAGGGTCGCCAACCACCAGACCAGGCACAGGGCATTGAGCCCTATGCTCCTTCTCTCCTGTCTCCAAATATCCCAGCCAGAGCCCGTGATGGCCTTTGCTATTTCTGTACCACGAATACCCAACCCCAGCATAAACTAAACCAATCAAACTATCCCATGTTGATCCAAACTGCCCTCCTTGCAGCATTGCCTGTTGCTCTCTCCTTTTCCCACAGCCTCCTCAGTTCAGCACTGTGCAGGACCTGGAGCGCTCAGATCCAGACCTTTCCCAGTCCTTTGAGGTGTCTGGATGTTTCACATCATTCTTTCTCCCAGTTTTTCCACAGTCTTAAGCAGTGCTCCCTGTTCTTCTCTTCTTCAGTGTGAAAATTTAGCAAAGTCAAGTGAGGTGAACACTCCAGCACATGCAGAGTTTGAGACTATGCTGCTGATATCTCACTACTACGCCACCCGCTCCGCTGCTCAGGGTGTGAAACAACTGGTAAGGGTCTTGAAATTCCTTTATCAAGTCAGCACTGTGAGTGCAGGGCTCCATGGGGACATGCAGGTTCAGGGCATGATGACCCAGAGGTGGTTCACAGGGAGCAGGAATTGGTTCCCAACTCAGTGAGGCTTCAGCAATTGGAAAAGAAAGGCAGCCAGAAGGAGGCCAGAGAACAGCAGAGGTGAGAAGGATAAGCCTGGAGGTACACAGTCAATGGGAAAAGACTGAAGGAAGAGATAATAACACATAACTGCTGGAACAGGAAAGAATCTGTTTTCAAAATCTTTGTATGCATTGGATAATTAAGGAATCTAATTACTGCAAGGGAGAGGCAGGTTAGATAGAAAGAAATGCTTTCTAGCATGTTTCCAGCTTGGAATGGCCATGAACAAAAGCTCCTACAATGAAGCCTTTATGTCAGTAATGGTGGGTGCAGAGCTCTGCTACGGGGCCATGGTTACATGATCTCAGGAGATCTCTTCCAGCCTGATTCTTTTCCATGCTTACTGTTGTGGCTTTACTGTCCCTTGTGTCTACAGGACACCGTGGCTGCCAGGTTGTCCATTTCTCTGCTGCGTCACACTGATCTCCTTCCTGCAGACAAAGCCTTCTATGAAGCTGGGATAGCAGCCAAGGTGAGAGCTGTCTGCCACAAGAGCGGCTCAGGGGTTCCAAGCTTTTTCTTCCATGGTCTCCCCCAGCTGCACTGGCATGTGAGCAGCCAGATGCTGGCTTTGGAGGCCTTTCCTCAAACATTTTGTGTTTTATCATGATGTGGCCGAAGAGCAAATCTGAATTAGTAAGGGGACATGACCTGCAGACCCAGACCAGAGCTCTGTTTTGTGGCTCTGCTATTGCAGATGCACGACTCTTCACTGGCCCACCTTGCTCTGGTCACCTAATTGTTACCACCTAACTGTTATGTAATGACTACAGGCTCTGACCTCCTGCCCAGACGTAATGACACACAGCAAGGATAGCAGCATGTTCTTACTGTTTGGTGCTGGCTTTCCAGCCCATCATTCACATGGGAGAGTTGTGGCTGGGAAGATAAACCATCCACTGCCTGGTCTCACTTGTGGTTTCTCTCAACACTAGGCAGTCAACTGGGAGAACATGGCCTTCATCTTCCTGAACCGCTTCCTGGACTTCTCAGATGTGCGTATCTTCTGCTGGGGGAGAGGTTGTGGATGCCCCATCCCTGCAGGCATTCAAGGCCAGGCTGGATGTGGCTCTGGGCAGCCTGGGCTGCTGGTTGGTGACCCGCACACAGCAGGGGGTTGGAACTGGATGAGCACTGTGCTCCTTTTCAACCCAGGCCGTTCTGTGATCTATGATTCTATGACTCATGCTTCAAAATGACAGTAGGCTGTAGGGCTGTGCAGACCCAACATATGCTGAGCCTGACCAGGAGATGCCTGGGGCTGAATGGGGCAGCTACCTGAGCTGGTACTGATGGAGAATGCAGGGCCCTGAACTTGCTCTGTGTGCACATGTGGGGCTATGAAATGCCACCTCCCAGGAAGGCACAGTCCTCACAGCACTGATAGACAGGGGCATTGGTAAAACCACCTTTACAATACAGACTGCAGTGTGAATGCCAAGGATGGTACTGCCTCGAGATCCACCACTTCTCCTTTCTCAGGCCATTGAAGAAGGGAACCTGGATGCTCTGGACCACTCCGATTTTCAAAGCACAGACATTCCCTTTGAAGTGCCACTCCCAGCCCATCAGCACGTGCCTGTGAGTATCATCCCCCTCTGTCAGATCCCTGCAAATGCTGCCTCTCTGAACAGCGACTTGTATGTGGGTGGCACTTCAGAAGATGGAAAAGCAGCCAGGACCATCCACCACAAACACACCTGCAGGCCCTGTTCACATACACCCATGCACTCTCACTATACCCTCTGCTATACACGCTCACTAATGCACATGCCTGCACTCGCTCCCCACTTCTTGCACACACACAGCATACAGTACCCCTGTCCTCTGCCCTGCAGGAGGAGAAGAGAGAGGAGGTCAGGGATTGGGTGCTCACCATGTCCATGGACCAGCGGCTGGAGCAGGTGCTGCCGCAGGACGAGCGTGACACATACGAAGCCTCCTTGGTGGCTGCAGGCACAGGGGTGCACTCCCTGCCCTGTGTGCTTACAGGTAAGCTCTGGGCCAGCTCACAGCTACGCGGGGCGTTGGAGCACTTTGCACCTTGATTTGAGAGGGGTCAGGCAGCACTGTAAGAGGAGCAGGGCAGCTACGTGGCTGCCTTCTACAAAAGTGCCCCGCTGTGAGGAACTGCGCACGGCAGGGAGGGATGCACGAGGCAGGAGGGCTGCTGTGGGGCTTGGCTGGTTGGTGAGGCTGTCACTGTGTGGCCAGGGTACCCCGTGCTAAGGAACAAGATCGAGTTCAAGCGGCCGGGCCGAGAAGCCAACAAGGACACGTGGAACAAGTTCCTGATGGCTGTCAAGGTGAGCCAGGCACTCATTCCCCCATGCTGATAATTAATCATTGTCCCACTGGTGGAGCTACACCAACCCAGGGCCATTTCATTGTACCTCCACTGAATTAATCTCACCGTACCTGGGCACAATACGCCTTGCAGGTGCAGCTCTGCCAGCTCCCAGGTGCCAGTAGGGAGAAGGCAGTCACGCTTCCCCCTCTTCTACTCTGCAGACATCCCACAGCCCTGCATGCCAAGACGTGCTCAAGTTCCTCAGCCAGTGGTGTGGGGGGCTCCCAAGCACCAGCTTCTCCTTCCAGTGAGCCGGACCATCCTGTTCCTCAGCCCCTTCTGCTTCTACCCTCCAATAAACACATCTCAACACTTCAGTGCTCCCGTTTGTCAGGGGATGCAGTGCCCAGGGACATGTAGTTCCTGGAGGACAGAGCCATAGCCCTTCCTCTCACTTCCTTGCCCCTCCACATGACTGCTAACCACGCAGCCTCCATGCTGAGGAGTGAAGCATCACACTGCAGCCTGTGCTGGGAGGCTGGGAGGAAAGGCTGATACACACCTTGCACTGTCCTTCGAGGAGCAGACCCAGCTTCCTGCAAGCATCCACAATGGGGAAACTGCAGCCAATGTAAAAACGAAAACTTTTATTTACTCAAAGAAACAATGGAGGTTTACAAGAAAGGGGTTCTTCGTCTTCTGTTCATCAGCCTGCTTCTGAGCCCCAGCTCTGCATGTGGAGCACCAGCACCAAGGCCAACCCCAGCCATTGCCAGGCCTCAGCACTTCTTCTTGCCCCCACCCTGTCCCTCTGCCTCCCCACAGCTGTGCGTGTAAAGAGATTGACACAGCTTTCGGCGCATCAGGAGGATCCTTATGGCCCAGGAAGGGAGGATAGGGAGGGGTTTCATGAAACACAGCACGTGCTGGGTGAAGGCTGCTGGTGCTTCTGGGCAGTCGATGCCTGGGACCAGCAGGGTTTATCCCAGGGAGGATGGTGGGGTCGTGGGGAGGAGCACAGCCCCATGCCTATGCCTGCAGCAGGTGCAGCATCACCCCACTGTATGACAGCACTTGTGCAGCACCACCTGCAGGGAGAGAGAGTAGGTGTGTTGCAGCCCGTGACCTCCCTGCACTGCAGGGCCGTGCCCACACCACTGCACTCACCTCTCCACTATGCACAGGTCTCAGCCAGCCCCACCAGCAGCTGCCTCTCCTTCACCGTACCTGGCCTGGCCATCTGGAAGAGAAGAGGTGGAGGGCTGCAAAGGAATGCACTAACAGGGGGTGCAGGGAGTGCTGAGGTGAGGTGGGGCAGAGAGCCCTCAGCCCAGTTGGGAGATCCAGCAGTGATGGTAGGTCAATGGTAGGGATGGTAGGGATGCCTGTGTGCGGTTAGGACGTACCTGGTCCTTGCTGTAGCCACGTGCACAAGGGCCGATGCCCTGCAGGACCAGGGCTGCCAAAGAGCACCTTCCAGCCAGCACAGCTTCTGCAGCTGCCAGCAGCACAGAGGGGAACCAGAGCGCCAGGGCCGTGTCCTGCAGAGCAGAAAGTGAGGGATTTTGGGGGGGCACAGACCACAGCGCCCACCCAGAGCTGAGAGGGGCCCATTGAGACCAACGGGGGCCGGGATGGAGGGAAGAGAAAGAGAAAAAAGGCAGAACATTGAGAAAGCAGAAGCAAAGGAGAGGGCCGAGCATCAGGCCCACAGGTACTCACATAGATGCGCGTGGTGTTGAAGGGACAGTCGTTGGTGGCTATGGCTGCGCGGGCATCAGCCGGCAGCGCGGGGCTGTTGCAGCCCGTGACCAGGCGCATCCCACGGCTGTGGATGGTGAGCGCGATGGCCAGCGCCAAGCCCACGCTGCAGGCTGCAGACAGCAGACAGTTCAGCAGGGATACGCCCAGCAGGGCCCAGTGCTGCCAGCATAAGGAGAGCGCGTGAGAGCGGGACCGGCCACAGCTGGGGTAAGAGGTGGGGTTGGGCACAGCGTGGCTCTGCATGGGGTCACTGGGAATCCTGCAGAGGTTTCTGCTAGGCAGATACATGGTGTGCACAGCCCCGGCTCTTGGTGTGCTTCAGCCATCCTCTGGGCTGTGCCTCAAAGAATCACAGAATGGCCAAGGTTGGAAGGGACCTCAAGGATCATGAAGCTCCAATCCCCTGCCACATGCAGGGCCACCAACCTCCACATTTCATAGCAGCCCAGGCTGCCCAGGGCCCCATCCAACCTGGCCTTGAACACCTCCAGGGATGGACGGGGCATCCACAGCCTCTCTGGGCAGCTGTTCCAGCACCTCACCACTCTCTCTGTAAAGAACTTCCCTGACATCCAACCTCAATCTTCCCTCCCTCAACTTCACACCATTTCCCCTTGTCCTGCTGTTATCTGCCCTTGCAAAGAGTTGATTCCCCTCCTGTTTGTAGGCTCCCTTTAGGTACTGCCAGGCTGCATTGAGGTCACCCTGCAGCCTTCTTTTCTCCAGGCTCAACAAGCCCAGCTCCCTCAGCCTGTCTTTGTAGGGGAGGTGCTCCAGTGCTTTGATCATCTTCGTGGCTCCTCTGGACCCTCTCCAGAAGCTCCCTGTCTTTCTTGTACTGGGGGCTCCAGACCTGGATGCAGTACTCCAGATGGGGCCTCATGAGGGCAGAATAAATGGGGACAATCAGCTCCCTGTCCCTGCTGGCCACCCCTCTGCTGATGAAGATCTGATGCCTCACACTGCTTCACCTCACCCGCAGAACCATAGACTGGCCTGGGTTGAAAAGGAGCACAGTGCTCATCCAGTTCCAACCCCCTGCTGTGTGCAGGTCACCAACCAGAAGACCAGGCTGCCCAGAGCCACATCCAGCCTGGCCTTGAATGCCTGCAGGGATGGGGCATCCACAGCCTCCTTGGGCAACCTGTTCCAGTGCCTCACTGCCCTCTGGGTGAACTTCTCCCTAATATCTAATCTAAACCTCCCCTGTTTCAGTTTAAAACCATTCCCCCTATGCTACAGATGCAAAGCCACAGACCACAGAGGCTCCCCCCGGCAGCAATGCCTCACACACCCCTGCCCTGTGAGACATCAGACATGGGGCTACAGCTTTACCCATTAGTTGGAACATTTCTGCCCCAAGCAGCCGCCCAGAGCCCAGGCTGCTGCCCACCCTCCTCCAGCACCACGAGCTGCCACGGCCCCAGCAGCAGAGGCGGAAGGAGCTGCTGGGTCCAAGGTCCAAGGGAGCGGCTGCCCAGAGCACACGGAGCCACGCTGAGGCCCCCGCACAGCTCCATCCCCCCCATCTCCCACCCCGGCAGCCCCGCACTCACCAGGACAGCCCGGGAAAGGTTGCGCGACACCACGATGGCAACGATGCCCACAGCGATGCTCTGCGGGGAAGAGATCCTCGCTCAGCACAACGCCGCAGCTTCACCCGCCCCCACCCCCTCTGGCCCTGCATGGGGTCCATCCGCACCGCACGGCTCTCACCAGCAGCCCGGACACCACGGACACGACGTTGGCCACCGCGTACTCAGGGGTGACGGCACCCTTGGTCCTGGAGACGTGCCGCAGGACGGAGCCGTGCACGATGGCTCCCAACACCAGGGTGCTGTGGCCCAGCACGATGAGACCCAGCCCAGCGCGCATCAGGCGCTGCGGCTCAGCCAGGGGCCCCGGCCACCATCGCCCCGCACGCCTGCCCGCCATGGCTGCCAGCAGCAGCAGCAGCAGGCCGCTCGCAGCTGGAGCCGCCCCGAGGCGGAGCCCCACTCCTCCCAGGCCCGGAAAGAGGCAGCACTCGGGTATTTACAAAACAGTTTATTAAAAATAGGAAATGATAGAAATGAGATGCGGGAGCAGCGCCGCGTTCAGCCCCAAAGACGCATGCAGGGCTGTGGGCTCAGCTCCTCCGAGCACCTTCAGATAGAAAGGAGATGCAGAGGGAGCTGAGCGCTGGAGCACCCGGCGGCCCAGCAGAGCCCAGGCCAACAACAGCACGGGGCTCCAGGCTGCCTGCCAGAGGCCCGGAGCACACAGGGGGCCCACGGCAGCACGCAGCAGCAGGGCAGGAGGGCCAAGCTCGGCTCCAGGATGCTGCAGCAGGGGACACAGCCCAGGGGAGCACACGCTGCAGCCCTGCACCTGCAGCGCAGGCCGATGTGCAGAGCTGCGGGGCTGTGCAAAACGAGTAAACAAAGTGCAGCCAAAGGGGAGCGGAGAGGCGAAGGGCCAGGCTGGTGCTGGATCCCTCTGCCCAGGGACGAGGCTCGTGACTGCTGCCACAGGCGGTTGCAGAGTTGGGGGGGATACAGAGGGGGAACAGGGCCTAAGGGCTCCCCTCTGCTTACCTTTAAATTAAAAAAAAAAAAAAAAAAAAAAAGAAAACGAAAAAACCATTTCTGTGCTGTGCAAAAAGACACTTTGTACAATCCAAACAGAACAAATTCCATGCACATGAACGGGGCTACAGAACACCCCGAGCCAGGACCTGGCTCCCCAGCACCACCTGGCAAAATCCCAACAAAAACAGGGCTGGAAATAATACTGATGCGCAAAGTCCCCTTTAATAGGCGGGCAGGGAGGATTGTTGCTGGGCCCAGCCACAGCACATGCAGGATGAGCTTCCAAGCACTGCAGCTGGGGGCTTGCTGATGCCCTACGGTGATGGACAGACACAGAAGGGGTCACAGGCAACAAAGCTGCACCGGCCGCCCTGGAGCCAAGGGATGCTACGATGACACCGTCACTGCCGTCAGAGCTCCGTTCCGGGTGTAGTAGAACTTGCTGAATGCCTCTTCAAGTAAACAGGTAAGTCTGCTCTGGTCAGCCTGGGGGAACAAGTCAGAGTGAGGGGTGGTGCGAAGCCAAAAGCTTGCTTAAAACCTGCCCGAGTGCATGGCAGGAACACGTGCTACTTCTCCTACCTTCCCAGGCAAACAAGGACAATAAAGCCTGAGAAAGGAATGCAGAGCTACGTCCCTGCTCGAGACTCAAGGCTGCTCACCTCACTGATGAATCCAAGCTGGACCAATTCAGCTGCCAGTTCTTGGATATTATCATCTGCAACACAAGGAAGCGTGTAAATCCCACACCCAGACTGCACTGCTGACTCCAGTGCACGAGAATACAGGAGGAGAGGCACTTACTGGGCTGCAGGTCACAACTCAAGTGTCGATTCAACTTGTCTTCCAGTTTCAGCAGCAGTGTTAACTGCAGGGTAGAGAAGCTCTTGTGAGCATGTGCAATTTGACAGGCTGCCACAGTACAGGCAGCAGCCAACACAGCTAGGAATGTTCCCCCAGATCCCCACTGGGATAGGAATCACCCTCTCCCTGCCCCTGCAGAGTTCCACTGGAGTCTAAGAGGAAAAAACACACCCAATTCTATTACTCCCAACCCTTGCCAGCAGCACAACCACGTGGAAGGAATGCTCTAAGGCTGTATCTGGAGGATAAGCCATAAATGCTAGCTAAGCAGCAGGCCATCTATAGGCACGGGCTGCAGATGTCACTGACGTGACCTTTAAGGGACTCTTCCAACCCAAGCTGGGCCTCAATCTGGCTTTGTGCCCCAAGAACTGCAGCTCTGGCAGCAGCACATCACACCAGACCCCAGCAGCACATCAGCACAGTGATGCCACGTGCTCAGCACCCCCTCCACACACACACAACACTCAGCCAGAAGGTGGGACCGTACGTGGTGCTTCACTCCCTCCTCTACTGACTCAATGTTGCACTGCATCAGCACCACCTGAAAGAGAAGCACAGACACCCCGTGAGCCACTGCTGCTCACAGCACAGCTGCACAGGGAAGAGTGGAGGTGCCATGTCTCACCTTGCGGGTTTCCACCTCTGCCGGCTCTGGAGTTGGGGTTTTTACTGATGGTGGAGCAATGGGAGACTTCACCACCACCTGCTGGGGCTGCTGAGGTCGTGGCATCCCAAAAGCTGTGAGTGGGTAGATACCATTCCTACAAAGAATCCGGATCTGAGGTTATGCCTCTCCTGAAAAATCACCCCAGTCTCACACACAGTTAAAGAGGTACTTAAAAACAAACACACGCTATTCCAAAAATCCAACCAACACACCAAGAAATGATCTCTGTTACCTTACATCCTCCAGGAACTTGTCCAGCTCCAGTGCTGGAGACTGTGAGAATCTGGAGGGAAAGAAGTATTGCAGTCAGAAGCCATTAGCAGAACCACATTACCATCCACTCAAGTCTGTTTGGATGCAGTTTCAAATCTCCGTATCCCAGATTGCAGCCACATAAGCAGGCAGGGTAAGTACAGTCAGAGTGAGATGTACTGCACTCTTCCCATAGCAGCTCCCAGAAGCTAACAGCAAGGCTACAATTTAACAGTGGCAGAAGCAGGCAGCACTTCCCTTTGGAGAGCTGTCCAGTGCAAATAACTGCTTGGAAATTGCTTCCCCAAATTGTTCTGGCCAGATTTTACTACAAATTGCTCCAGCAACAGTGTGCCCATTTCCCTCCCATCAGCTTGGGAGGAAGGCAGATCTCAGCTGCGTGGAGTCTGTCTGTGCAAGTTCTTCTCCCACTGGGCAGACAGCAGCAAGAAATCCTCCAGCATCACCCAGTGCCCACGCAGACCCCTGTGAGCACACCAAGGGGTACCCACATCATTTTGACTCCTTCCCTGTCCGCATGGTTGATCTCTGCCAGCACAGCACTCATGTCGAGGTTTTTGGTCATTTCTTCTAAAGCGTTTTCAGGAATCATATCTATTAAAAAACAGAAAGTTAAGACCTGAACAACCACATTTCTCTTCCACACTAAGAAGAAAAAAGCCTAGAGAGTCGCAGCAGTAACTCAGCAAAGCTGTATGTAACAGCGCGGCACCCTGGCACTCCGTACTCACGCTGATGGCCGACGATGCAGTGAGCAGCAAGCAGCTTTAGTGATGGCACCTCAAACAATGCCTGATGAAAAAGGAGCTCCCGGGCTGTAGGACGTTTGCCTGGGTCCTGTTCTAGACACTTCTGAATGAACTCCTACGAGACAAAGACAGAATGAGGCCACGCACAAGGCCCGCAGGTCCATGTGGGCGCTGACCCCTCTGCACTCACCCTCTGCAAGGGGTCCTCCAGCAGCTGGATGGCACTGTTAATGGCCTCCTGGGGCACGTAAGATGACTCTCCATTACCCTGTATTTCCAGCACTGCCATCTGCAAGCACAAAGCAGCACGTTGGACTTCACTAAGAAGTGATTAAGATCACTGCTGGCAAGTATGAGATCATACCAACCAAGCTGATTGGTGTTACTTAAGGTGACGGTTTGTGGAGGCAGAGAGAATAACTGTTCCATTATGATAGCTTGGTTCCAGCACCTTGACAGATTGCCAAGAAGTCCTTAAAACTATGCCAGCACCTCCTCAGACAGTTAGTCTCTCTATTTTGAATTTCATGGTCCATTGGCCTGTCGTTCTGCTTGACAATTCCCATCCTCTAATGAAGCAGTAAAGGATTGCTGCCAGAACCTGGCAGTGCCCTCCTGGCTGCATGAATAGCTGTTTTACAAGCAGAAAAGCAAACACACACAATGCCATCCAGAACTCACTCCAGCCAACACATCCACAAGTTTCCAATAGGGAAAGGGCAGCAGAAGATTCCAGAGGATGTCTGAAGATTCAGCAAGGCAAAGTGCCTTTGTCTCAGAGAATAAAAAGCTCCTGTTACCAAACTAACACACCCATAACCACAGCGACTCCAAACAGCCACGTCCTTCCCTTGAATTTATTCTCCTTGTCCCATAATCAGAGTATTCCCAACTCACCTCCAGGGCACACATCCCAAAGGAATAAATATCCACAGCAGTGGTAACATTGGCAACTTCTGTAACACAGAAACAACACCGCTGTCAGTCTCTTCCTGCACCCAGCAGCAGGACAACCTCTGTATCGAGCTGTGACAACCTGCAGCCTTCTCTCCCTCCTGTGCTATCAGAAGGCAAAAGGAGTTGGAACAATTAAACTGGCAAATGACACAGAAACTGATAATGGGACACTGCTTATAAGACTGCAGCTGAAAACAAGGTGCACAACAGCCTGGGAGCCTCAGTGAGGCAGGTCAAGCAGAGAATGGCACACCGTACCTCCATATTCCGGAGCAAAGAAGTGCAGGTTCTTCTGCTCCTCCCGACACGTCTTCACGTGGTTGTTTATCGTGTCTGGTGCCACTAGAAGAAAGCAACGAATGCTTAGGATGCAGGACATCTCAGCCCATCCCCAGACGTGTCCTAAGGAATGCCCTGTTGAAATGCAAGCCCTGAAAGGACCTCACTTAAATCAGATTTGTTGTAAGCAACCCAGCTGTAACAAAAGCCCTACGAGCAGCCAGGATCACTGCAGTTACAGTCACTACCTCAGGGCACCAGGAAAAGAACAGGTCTATGAGGCAGCTTTTCCTAGCTGACCCTTCCACATGTCAGCAGGACACCAGAGCCAAGGTTCCTCAAGAGGAAAGTCATGCAGAGCTGCTGAATGAGACCTGACCATCCTGACAGCACAGGACTCCAGCAGCCAGCCCCTGCATGGCCCCAGAGGTGAAGGAAGGGAGGGAGTAACTCCCAGCAACAAGAAAGAGGAGCAGAACACAAGAATGGACCCTCATTTTTGCTTGCAGTTTTTTTTTTGCTTACTCTGCTTTACAGATACCAACAGGTTTCAGCTTCACAGCATTAAGAAAAATGAGTTAAAATTCTTGGTCTTCCTTT